CTGGTGTCGAGAAAATGCCACGACTGCAGCGCTCTGCGAGCCCGAAAGATAGCACCCCAACCCCCAGCGCATCCCCTGTGGCGTCGAGGAAGTGCAGCGCTTGCCACGCTTTGCAAACCCGCCGCGCGTGTGATGTAAGCGTATGGTGCGTGTGATGCGTCAGGAGGAGGTGTGTGTGTGTGTGTGTTTGCACATGTGCTGACACCACGAAACATGTGGGGAAACAGACCCCACAAAACATGCTGGGAAAAACGGCTCCGGGACTGGAACCGGAACGGGGACCGGAAAAAAAGGCGACGGAGCCGGGAACAAAAACGGCGACGGAACCGGCGAGATAACGGCGGAACGGAAAAGGGGATTAACAAAAACTGTCCCGTTATTTCCAGGACCCGCTAGGGCTCGGAAGGGATGGCCAGGATTAGGCCGGGCGTGTCCCCCTGGAAGGGATGGCCAGGATTAGGTCGGGCGTGTCCCCCTACAGACGGATTTGGGCGAAAAATCAAAAAAGTACTGCCGAACTACCCCACAGATGCCCGAAGAAATTAGCCTGGCGAAGGACCCAACCATATGCAGTTGTGAATGCCGCAATTGTGCTGGGTGGTGGCGGACGCATGCGGGCGGTGCCACTGGGACCTTCGGTGGAGCTCCCTATGGGGCCACGAAACGCTGTACTGGGTGGGTGAGACTCGGTCAGCAAGGGCTGTGCTGCGTGGTGGCGGACGCATGCGAGCGGTGCCACTGGGACCTTCGGTGGAGCTCCCTATGGGGCCACGAAACGCTGTACTGGGGGGGTGAAACGCAGGCAGGGAGCAAGGGCTGTGCAGGCTGGTGGCGGACGCATGCGGGCGGTGCCGCTGGGACCTTTGGTGGAGCTCCCTATAGGGCTACGAAGCGCTGTTCTGGGCGGGTGAAGCGCAGGGAACAAGGGCTGTGCTGGGTGGTGGCGGACGCAAGCGGGCAGTGCCACTGGGACCTTTGGTGGAGCCCCTATGGGGCCACGAAACGTGCGAGGGGTGTGCCAGAATGGGGTGTGGAACCGCATGCCAGCGCAGCCACTGGGGCCTTCGGTGGAGCTCCCTATGGAGCCACGAAACGTGTGAGGGGTGTGCCGAAACGGGGGGGGAACCGCATGCGAGCGCAGCCACTGCGGCGTTCGGTGGAGCTCCCTATGGGGCCACAAGACGCGTGAAGGCGTGCCGAAAAAGGGAGTGGAACCGCATGCGAGCGCAGCCACTGGGGCCTTCGGTGGAGCTCTCTATGGGGCCACGAACCCTGTGAGACGTGTGCCGAAATGGGGGGGGGGAACCACATGCGAGCGCAGCCACTGGGGCGTTCGGTGGAGCTCCCCATGGAGCCACCCACGAAGCGTGTGAGGGGTGTGCCAGAATGGGTGGTGGAACCGCATGCGGGCGCAGCCACTGGGGCCTTCGGTGGAGCTCCCTATGGGGCCACGAAACGTGTGAGGGGTGTGCCACAATGGGGTGTGGAACCGCATGCGGGCGCAGCCACTGGGGCCTTCGGTGGAGCTCCCTATGGGGCCACGAAGCGTGTGCGGTGTGTGCCAGAATGGGGTGTGGAACCGCATGCGGGCGCAGCCACTGGGGCCTTCGGTGGAGCTCCCTATGGGGCCACGAAGCGTGTGAGGGGTGTGCCAGAATGGGGGTGGAACCGCATGCGGGCGCAGCCACTGGGGCCTTCGGTGGAGCTCCCTATGGGGCCACGAAACGTGTGAGGGTGTGCCAGAATGGTGGGTGGAACCGCATGCGGGCGCAGCCACTGGGGCCTTCGGTGGAGCTCCCTATGGGGCCACGAACGTTTGGAGGGTTTGGTCAGATAGCGTGGGGGGTTGGGGCCGCCATGCGGGCGCCGTGCCCACTGCGCCTTCGGTGGAGCTCCCTTATGCGGGCCACTGGGGCCTGTGAGGTTGTGTTGCCGAAGTGGGGGTGAACCGCATGCGAGGGCGCAGCCACTGGGGCCTTCGGTGGAGCTCCCTATGGGGCCACGAAGCGTGTGAGGGGTGTGCCAGAATGGTGGGTGGAACCGCATTCGGGCGCAGCCACTGGGGCCTTCGGTGGAACTCCTTATGAGGCCACGAAACGTGTGAGGGGTGTACCAAAATGGGGGGTGGAACCGCATGCGGGCGCAGCCACTGGGGCCTTCGGTGGAGCTCCCTATGGGGCCACGAAACGTGTGAAGGGTGTGCCAGAATGGGGGGTGGAACCGCATGCGGGCGCAGCCACTGGGGCCTTCGGTGGAGCTCCCTATGGGGCCACGAAACGTGTGAGGGGTGTGCCAGAATGGGTGTGGGAGGGGGAGGAGGGGGGAGGAAGGGGAGGAGGAGGAAGGAGGAGGAGGAGGAGGAGGAAGGAACGCGGGGCGACGTCTCTTCAAAACGAGGACCCAACACCACAGGATGGTTGGGAAAAATCCCCCGACTATTTTTTGAATATTCCCCTTGTCGAGGGACAGGCCCGACTTAGGCCCAGGATGGAGCCGGGGAGGGCTCTAGAGGCCGGTGTTGAAAGCCCACCCTCCTTCTGGGCGTCGCCAGTGTCGTCCGAACCGAGTGGAGGAGGAGGAGGAGGAGGAGGAGGAGGAGGAGGAGGAGGAGTAGGAGGAGGAGGAGGAGGGATGGTGAGGATGGGAGGAGGAGGAGGATAAGGAGGGAGGCTGACGCAGACGAGGAGGAAAGGGGGAGAGGGAGAAGGAAGAGGATGAGGAGGAGGAGGAGGAGGAGGCGGAGAATCGTGGCGCGACGTCTGCCCCGGCGGCCGGGGCGCGGCTTCTTGGAAGGCGAGGGATCTACACTTCAGTCGGGCGTGTCCCCCTACAAGGGGGATTTTGGGCGAACACTGAAGACTACTTTGAAAACATCAACAGATCCACCAACATAGTCAAAACATAGTCCCCGTACTATTTGTGTGAACTGTGTTTGACTTTTCCTCCTGTAGACGGACGTGCGCGCCGCCTCCTCCTCCTCCTTCTCCTCCTCCTCCTCCTCCTCCTCCTCCTCCTCCTCCTCCTCTTCCTCCCCTCCTCGTCCTCCTCCTCCTCCGCCCCTGCCTCCTCCTCCCTCCTCCTTCCTCCCCTCCTCCTCCTCCTCCTCCTCCTCCTCCTCCTCCTCCTCCTTCCTCCCCCTCCTCCTCCTCCTCCCCTCCTCCTCCTCCTCCTCCTCCTCCTCCTCCTCCTCCTCCTCCTCCTCCTCCTCTGGCGCCGAGCGCAGCGCAGCGCGGCGTCGGCGCCAGCGGCGAAAGCCAACACTAGGTCGGGCGTGTCCTGCTGCAGGCGGATCCCGGAGGGCAGCTATAGAAAATGGTCAGAACATGTTCAAAACAAAACGCAGCTTGTCCAAAAATGCCGAAGCTCATCCCCAGACTACGTTTTGACTTTCCTTGAATCTTCCTCCGGTAGAGGGGCCCGCCCGGCCCAAAGCTAAGAGCGCCATGGCGTTCGAAGAATCCGGCGGGGGGGGGAAGATCGCCGCCGGGCGGGGGCACGCAAGAACCAGCGGGACGGAAGAGGGTGGCCCCGGAGGGGGGATGCGGCAGACGCGGGGAGGAGGCTCTGGGGCTGTCCTCCCGGGCTCTCCGCGGGGTGCGGCGCGCCCGAAACACCTGGATCACGGTCCAAGTGCTCCTGGGATCGTGAATTCGGGGTCTCCTGGCCCCAGAGGGGGGACGCGAGGAGGAGGCCTCGGGCGTACGTCGGGTTCGCGTCGTGCCGACTTCGGCGTTGGTTTCTGACGCCGCGGGGAGCGTTCCGCCTCGAAGGATCGGCCGCTTCCGAAACGTCCAAATCGTTCCACATCAAGCGATTCTGGGTCGCCCGCAGCGCTCAACGTTGAACGCCGCTGGCGGGGTCGCCGCCGGTCGACACGACACGAACATACCGTAGGGGCGGATTTTGGACGAACATTACAATAGACTCAAACAAATATTAGAAAATAGTCCACCCTGGAAAGTCTATTTTTGAGTCCTCCGGGGGGGCGGTCGGGAAAGCGAGGAAAGAGGGGCGGCACGGAGGAGGACGACGCGGGAGGGCGACGAGGGAAGAGCTGGGAAGGGAAGACGGCGAAGAGGGAGGAGCGGGAGGGCCTGGCCAAAGGTCCTCGGCGGTCTCCTCGACTTCTGCCTGCGAAGTCTCTGGCGGACCTGGGGAGGCCCCTGGAGTTCCCCCAGACGGGGCCGACAGACGCCCGATCACATCGGCACTCGATCTGGGACGTCCCGTCCCCGACGGTCCCATGCGAGAGCCTTCTGGAGAGCGGTCCCCAGAGGCCCTTGGAGTGCCTCCGACAGAGGCCAAACGACTCCCGAAGACATCGACCCTCGATCCTCGATCGACGAACTGAGACGTTGTGCCGTGTCGCAATGTGGACAGAGGTCCAATCGTCTTCTCCGAGGCCGGCTTTTCGTCCCCAGTCGCTGGGGATCTTCTGACCCGGGTCAATCCAGACCCCGGTCAGTCAGGCCTTGCAAAATGCTGCTAAATCCTGCAAGATCCTGCACCCAAACCCGGATCAATGCGCAGGATCCTGCAAGATCCGGAAGGATCCTGCACCCAAGCCCGGGCAAGTGCGCCTCTGGCCCTGCAGGAACCTGCACGATCGGGCGCTCTGGCTGACCCCCGTTTGCACCTACCCGGGGTAGGTGCAAACGAAGACGGGGGTAACCCCCGTCTTTTGAGCCTCCCGAAGTCGTCGGATTGTGACTGCTCCGGCCCAGACACGGCCCCCCGAAGCCGAGACTGCCGAAGAAGGGTCCACCGCGATCCTCTCACGACGCGGGGAGGGCAGGGCTCGCTCAGCGACGCCGACGACGACGACGACGACATAGACGGCATAGAGGACCGAGATGACGACGACGACGTAGACGACATAGACGACATAAATGACGACGACGACGACGACGACGACGACGACGACGACGACGACGACGACGACGACGACGACGACGACGACGACGCTGCTCGCGCGCTGGGCGCGGCGGGCGGGGCGCCACCCTCTGCGCGTGGCCGCCCATGGGCCGACCGGCCTCGGGCCGCACGATGCGGAGGCCGGGGGCCCCGTCCTGCGGCCGTATAAGCAGGCAGGGCAAGCGGAGGAAGAGGGCAGGGCATGAGCACAGACTTTCGGGGCTCCGTGCGGACTGCCTGGGTCGGCCCTGCAGTGGAGGGCAGTCCACAAGAGCCCTTCTTCAACCAGACACCCAACCCCGAGACCTCAGGACGTCCACCGAACTTGGGTGCGGGAACGTCATCCTGAACCATCGGAACCCAAGAAACCCAGGGCACCCTGGAGGCAACAAGGGCTCACAACTTCGCGCTCCGCGCTGCGCGCTGCGCGAAGTGCGAACCACTTCGCGCTCTCGCGCCGCCTCCCATGGGAGAAGAGGAGGATGAGGAGGAATCGGAGCCAAACCGCGAAGCGCGAATAACTTCGCGCCCTCGAGGGCGCCCTTGAGGCAAGCAGGGTGTCCCTTGACGTGTGGGTCCCCCCTGGGCGCTCCAGGCAAACTCTCGGAGCTCCGTGCGGACTTCCCGGATCGGCCGCCTGGGCTTCCGTCCCTGGCGCGCGGAGCGCGCCGGGGGCGGCGCCCGAGGCGCCGCAGTGGGCCCCCAGCGTCGATCCGAGAAATCCGCTCGGAGCTCTAGTAGATCGTGCCTGTGCATTTTTGACGTTGACGGGGCCCAGGAACACACGGATAAACACCATCCCAGGAGTCCCCACATTTTCCCATATTTTCTGGGTCTACGTCTTCCCCCCCGCTTCCCAGATTTCCCCATAGTATCATCCTGGGAGTCGACGATTCATTGTGTCTGTGTGCTCTTCTCCCCCTCCTGGAATGTTTCGAGGGAAGGCGGAGTGCCCAATCCTGCGCGACGGGCGAGGGATGGCAGGGGATGGCTGCCGAGGGGGCGGCGGGTGGCGAAGGGACCGTCCTGCGTTCCCTCAAATCCGGACGTCGCATTTGTGTCACCACGAGCTGCTTGCTCTGTTTCGGGCCCCAGGACCATCACAGACCGAGCTGGTGTGAGGAACGCAACAGGCAAATGGAATCACAGTGTACTCGGAGGACGGGTGAGAGGACGAGGACCGAGGACCGAGGGGGAAGAGCGAGGAGGATCGAGGAGGATCGCGGAGAAGACGAGTACCCAAAATCCCATTCCCACGGTCCTCCTGCACAATCAAGCAACATGAATACCACTCTCCTCTCTCCCCGGGAGGTGTCCAGGACATGGCCGGCCTCCCTCCGCGTACTGTTTCTTTTGACACCGGATTTCCCGGAAACATGTGTTCGCTAGGGATTGCTTCAAAATGCTGCTCTCGCTGAAGCGCTGGCCTCATTTTCCGGCTACCGCTCGTTCCGAATCGTGCTCCCGCTGCAACGCTGGCCTCATTTCCCCGCTTCCGGTCGTTCCGAATCGTGCTCCCGCTGCAGCGTTGGAATAATTACTTCCAGCGCCATGCCACGGCATTGGTTTTCGGTCCTCCCAAATCGGCGCCAAAATCAAAAAAATGCCCCCCCGAAAACACCATCGGAGGTGATTCCACATTCGGCGTCGCTTCGTTGTTTTCTTCGCCGCAGAAGCCCCCCCCCCACATTGGGGCGTCGCAACGCCATGCTGTGTCAGGCTACGCGTCCTCATTTCCGCGCTTCCGCCCTTGGCTTTTTTCCTTGTTTCTCAAAATGCTGCTCGCTGGCCTCGTTTTCGGGCTACCGCTCGTTCCGAATCGTGTTCCCGCTGCAACGCTGGCCTCATTTCCCCGCTTCCGGTCGTTCCGAATCGTGCTCCCGCTGCAACGTTGGAATAATTACTTCCAGCGCCATGCCACGGCATTGGTTTTCGGTCCTCCCAAATCGGCGCCAAAATCAAAAAAATGGCCTCCCGAAGAAACCATTGGAAGTGATTACACATTCGGTGTCGATACTTTGATTTGTTGGGCCGCAGAAGCCCTCCCCCTCATTTTGGAGCGTCGCCACGCCATGCTATGTCATGCTACGCGTCAATCTTCACTACCATGCTAATGCTACGCCATGTAATGCTACGCCATGCGACGCCATCCGATTGTGCGAATGGGGGGGGAGATCTGCGCCATGGTAAGGCATGGGAGGAAGGGGTATGACGTCAGATATGACGCGAGCGCACCTAGCTTGCTATCGCCCCCTCCCTTCATGCCCCTCCTTATGATCCTCAACCTCAACCGACTCCTCCTCCTCCCTCCTCATCGTCATCCCCATCCTCATCCATCCTAGCCATCCTCCTCCTCCTCCTCATCTTCCTCCTCCTCACGCCTTCCTCCCTCTTCCTCCTCATCCGCCTCATCAGCACCCCTCCTGCCCATCATCCCACCCTCCTCGTCTTTCCTCATACCGTCCTCCTCTTCCTCCTCTTCCTCCACCTCATCACCACCACCACCATCATCAACAACCATATCATCACCTTTCAGCAGTAACAACAGCATCATCAGCATCAGCCTCATCACCACCAACCGCGCCACCACTATTATCATCATCAGCATCATCAGCATCATCATCAACGTCGTCGTCATCATCAAAATCATCATCATCATAATCATCACCATCATCGCCAACACCATCATCATCAGCAGCATCAGCATGACCATCAACAGCAACAACATCATCATCAACAACATCAGTGTCACCATCATCACCACCACCATCATCAACATCATCATCATCATCATCATCATCATCATCATCATCATCATCATCATCATCATCATCATCATCATCTAGACCACATGCCCTTAACCGGCGGAGATCGAAACAAATGTCTATCAGATACTCCTGATCTCCCAAGGGAGATCTGACTTCAAGCTTCATGTAAAGCTGGGCTGGCCGGGAAACAACGACTTAAAGGCCTTCAGATAACGTAGCCGACATGGTTGCAATGCCCGCAACTACGTAACTTCCGCTCGTCCTAGTCCTTCCGCTTGGCCATTTTTCTCTTCCATCCCGTACTCCTCCACCTCGTCCCATTCCCCGTCCCCATCCACATGTTCCATGTCCTCCCCCGGAGTTCTCCTCCTCCGCCTCCTCCCGAATCCTCCTCTTCCTCCTCCTTCTCCTCCTCCAACTCCTCTTCCTCCCGCTGCTCCCCCTCCCAATCCCACCTAAACTCGTCTCATACGTTTCCAACCTCTAATCCTCCTTCTCATACTGCTCATTCTCTTTATCCTCCTGCTCCCCCTCTCCCTACCTATCCTCCTCCCCGTTCCCGCGTTCCTCCTCTCCAACTCCACTCTCCTTCCTTCCTCACTTCCTCCCTCCCTCCCTCCCTCCCTCCCTCCCCCCTCCTCCCTCCTCCCCCGTCCCTCCTCCCCCCTCCCTCCTCCCTCCTCCCTCCTCCCTCTTCCCTCTTCCCTCCTCCCTCCTGCCTCCTGCCTCCTGACTCCTCCCTCTCTTTTCATCACTCCTCCCTCCTCCCTCCTCCCTCTCCTCCTCCTCTTCCTCCTACTGCTCCTCCTCCATTCCTTGACCTTATAGAACACTTCTCCCTGTCGCACTCCGAGGCCAGTTTTCAGGGCGGACTTGGCGTTTCGCCTAAGACTTCCTCACCAGTTATGATTCTGAAGCCTACAAAGTGGCCACAGATGGGGGGCAGGTCGTTTTCAAACTGTGGCTCTCGTTTTAGCGCCGCGCACATTCCTTTTAAACATTTGCATGATATGCACGGGTTGATGGCGGGTCGCTTTCAAAATGTGGCTCTCGCCTTAGCGTCGCACACATTCGTTGTAACAAATTGCACGAGTTTCACGGATTGATGGCGGGCCGTTTTCAAAATGTGTTTCTCGCCTTAGCGCCGTGCACATTCTAACTTTGCAAGAGTTTCACGGACTCCCATGATCAACGTACCAGAAGTGGTGGTGTGGCAGGATTCAGTATTATGCGTGGGCAGAAAGCATGCTGATTCGCGGTATTGAAGTCCCAACAAAGAGCGCTCGGGCACGATTCAGGATCGTCAAGATGCAGCAGTCAGGTTGATACGTGGCGTTGAAATGCCGGGAACAATGTTTGGGAACAATGTTTTGGCACGCTTCAGGATCTTCAAACGGTTGTCTTCCAACGAGGCAATTCCCTCAACGGAAATGAACCGTTGTAGGGGCCTGTGAAGTGGGAGCTTGGAGGGAGAGTTAATTCCAACATCGTTGGTGACTCTTCGGTTTACACTGGTCATCCTCCTCCTCCTCCTCCTGCTCCTCCCCCTCCTCCTCGCACAGAACCTCGCAGCAGCAGCCTTCCTTTTCGAGTGCACGCCCGATCACCATGATGAGGTGGTACTCGGACGGCACGGGGCAGCTGGCCACGAAACGGGGCGAGATCCGCAACAGGCACCCGTCTTCGAACATGAAGATCACCTGACGCTTGGGCCTGCGCTCTCCCCACCCACTACCGTCCCCCCCTTCTTTTTTGTTGCTCCTCTTCGCCGCCTCCTGGACACCACCTCATTCCCTCCTCTCCCAACTCATCTTCCTCCTCCTGGTCTCCCTCGTGCCCATCCGCTTATTCCTCCCCATCCACCCCCACCACCTGTCCCTCATGCTAGTACGAGTCTCCATCGCCCCCCCTACTCCTCCCACTCCCGCTGGCACTCCTCCTTCCCAACCCACGCCTGTCTCTCCCACAACTCCCCTCCTGCACCCTAATCCTCCTCCTCCTCCTCCTCCTCCTCATCATCATCATCATCAGCAGCAGCATTATCATCATCATCATCATCATCATCATCATCATCATCATCATCATCATCATCATCATCATCATCATCATCATCATCATCATCATCATCATCATCATCATCAACATCATCATCATCGTCCTTCTCTTCTTCCTCATCCTGCATCTCCTCCCTTTCCTCCTCCTTCTCCTCCTCCTCCTCCCCATTCCTATCTCCCTCCTCATCCTGCTCCTCCCCATACCCAACCCCCTGCTGACTGACCGACTCGGACCGTGCGGAACGATACCCGTGATATCAACCACCCACCTCCTCCCCCTCCTCATCTCCCCCGCCCCCTCTGGGGGGACACTGAGTTATCGATGCCGCTGCTGCATGCTGCGCCACGGACCTCTCCGAGGGGGCGCGCTGCGACCGAGACTCCGAGGCGAATCCGGCCACTGCGACGAGGGCCGGGCAGCGGCAGCGGCACCCGCTCCTCTTCCCTGGCGCCTCACTCCGGGCGGCGCGCAGAGAGGGGCAGGCCCCTCCCCTGCCCCAGAAGCATGCACCCTGCGCCTCCTCATCCCAATCCTGGTTGAGTGATGAGGAGGAGGTGGAGGAGGAGGAGGAGGAGGAGGAGGAGGCGGAGGAGTACGAAGAGGAGGAGGAGGGGAACAAACGATGGCATGAGCAGAACAATTCACTCGGATGTCCGCGCGGACCTCCGAGTTTGCTAGGAGCTGTCCTGCTGGGCTCGTCTTAGGGGCCCTCTCAGGCGCCTGTTGGGCCATGTTGGAGCGATCTCGGGGGCCTCGTCGGCCGTCTGGAGCGCTCTGGAGGCCGAGAAGCCGGGCCCTCGAAAATGGCACTGCACCGACCTTGCAGACGTGCTGCAGCGGATTGTTGCGTGGATTTCTGTCAATGCAACACCCCGCAACGGCGAGTGAAAAACGAAACGAACTTCGCGTGGATTTGCTTTCGTGTTCATTCCTGGTCAAAGAAAACAAAGAAAAAAAAAAAAAAAACACAAGAAAAATAAAACATAAAAAAGAAAAACAAAAAACAAAAAAAAAAAGAAAAAAAAAAAAATCAAAAAAACAAACAAAAAATAGAAAAAACACAGAAAAAAAAAAAAACAAAAAATAAAAAAAAAAAAAAAAAAAAGAAAGAGAAAAAAATAAAAAAATAAAAAAATCAAAGAATCTTCACGAAATTCACTCCGAAATCCGGAACGAAATTCTCCAGGACACTCCGGGCCCATCCTGTCGCTTTCCGAACGAGATCCGCTCGGCGATGTTGGCGCCATGGCAAATGGCACAGCAACTCGGGGAACACATGTAGGTTTGGCCTTCCGGGGGGCGCCTCTTGGGGGTCGTCTTCAGGCTCCCCAGGCCGCACAGTGTCAGTTCGGGCGTGTCCGCCTACAGGCCGATTTTGGTCGGAAGCGAAAGAAGGACCCCAAACATGCATCAAACATGCGAAACAAAATCAAAAAACAGCCTCCCCGGTTATTGTTTAAATATCTTTGAACATTCCCCCTGTAGAGGGACAAGCCCGACTTAAATACAGGTTTTACCTTCTGGGGGGGGCCTCTCGGGAGTCGTCTTCGGGCTCTCCCCAGGCCGCACGCAGTGCGCGGAGGGCCAAGAGTTGGCCGCGCGCACCAGGGAGAAGGGGACGTCGGAAGTCAAGGGGGTCAGATCCGAATTAATGAAGGGGAACTGGGACACACAAATAAATACACACAAATAAAAAGATTCCCCATATTTTCCTATATTTTTGGGATTTTTGTTTTCCCCCCCACTTCCCATATTTTCCTATATTTTCTGGGAGTCGCCGATCAATTGTGTCTGTGTGTTTTTTCCCCTCCTGAATTAAGGAGGAAACGACAGGAGGGGACGGACCCCTGGTGGAGACGCTGGCCTGGCATCGGCGATGCACCGCCAATGGCTCGGCGACGGAGCCTCTCAGCAGCGAGGCCGCGCGATCCTGGGAGGGGAAAGGGCAGGAGAGCCCAAAATCGAATCCGATAATCCGCATCGGCGATCGAGATGAATCGGACCAGCCGGAATCGACGGACAGGTGTGGAAGAGTCGAATCTGCGGACATCGGCAGCGCAGTGAGGAGGCCCCACCGAGACAGCGGAGCCCCGATCAGAATCCCAAGTCGACTCGAACCGGAATCGGAATCCATCCACGTCGAGAAGAATCGATAGAAGGAAAGAAAACGCCAGAAGCCTAAACGCGCGGAGCGCGCCAGGGGCGGCTCCGGAGGCGACGCCGGGGGGGGCCCAACGCGGCTCCAAGAACTCCGCGCGGAGCGCCACGATGGTGCTTTTTCTTCTTCGGATCGACTCGACACGAGCCCCTCCGGGCCACAAGCTTAGGTTCATGGTGCTTTTCCTTCTTCGGATCGACTCGACACGAGCCCCGAGGGGGGGCGCAGCCGGGCCCCGCTGGACGACGAGCGGGCCGGGGGGGGGGCCCCTCCGGGCGCGCAGGGCCGCGGTGCTGCCAGGGGGCCCACCCGCGGGCCCAGCCGGAGCACCACAGTGCCACTCCAGCGGCGGGGGGCCACGCTCACGCGAGCGGCCATCAGCACGGGGCCCTACTCGGTGGCGAGCGAGGGGGGAGATGCCAAGGAGAAGGCCTTCTCAGACGGCGGCGGGACTTCTCAGAAGCCCTCGCGCCTTCTGAACAGCTGTTGTTGGTCTTCGGGGAAGGCTTGGAACACGTCTCAGAAGGCTGGGGGACTTCCGAACCTTCCGAGAACGCCTGCCGCTTCTCACTTCCCCCTCGTTCGCCGCCGACTTACACGAGAAAGCCCAGGGTTCGCAAAGGACTGGCTGCCCCCGCAAAACTCCCCTGTACCACATCTCGAGGGAGGATGAGGGAAGAAAGAGGGAGGGATGAGAGATGAGGGAAGAAGGAATGAGGGAGAGAGGGAGGAAGGGAAGGATGAGGTATGAGGGAGGCGGGAGGGAGCGACGAAGGAGGAGATAAGGAGGGATGGATGAAGGAGGGATGAGGGAGGGAGGTGAGGATTAGGGTGAAGGAAGGATAGATGAGGGGTGAGGGAGGGAAGGCGGAAGGATGAGGGACAAGGAATGAGGAGAATTAGGGTGTACGAGGGATGAAAGAGGACGGAGGGAGGAGGAGGAGGAGGAAGTGGAGGAGGAGGAGGAGGAGGAGGAACCGTCAGCTGAAACAGCCCAGAAGAAACAACCTACATTCAACAAGCCGCGCAAGAGCTTCTGAGCACACAGGATGTCTTGGGGAATCCGGCCTAACAAAATCGAATCACCTCAAGCGCGGACATCTCTGAACCCCCAGTTGGAGGGATGAGGGAAGGAGCGATGAGGGATGAGAAAAAGTAGCATGCGCGAGTGATGAGAGAGGGAAGGGAGGATGAAGGACCCGTCGGGCGGGCGGACCCTACAGGGGGGCTCGGGTCGGTCGGGCGGGACCCGAACGGGCGGGTCGGGTCGGGCGGGCGGGACATGAACGAGTTTTCGCATCATCGTCTGGCACGCGAGTGATGTAACGAGCGGGTCGGGGTCGGGGGCCGGGCGGACATCAATGTTATGGCGCAAACATCGAAGTGGGACGCCGAGTATCCGAACGGGGCGGGTCCGGGTCGGGAGGGGCGAGCGGACCCCTAACGGCGGGACGGGTCGGAGTCGGGCGGGCGAACGGACCCTAACGGGCGAGACGGGTCGAGTCGGGCGAGCTAGCCCTACCGTGCGGGTCGGGTCGGGTCGGGCGGGTGGGACATCAATGTATGGCGCATCGTCGAAGTGGGATGCGAGTGCTCTAACGGGCGGGTCGGGTCGGGCCGGGCCGGGCGGACCCTAACGGGCGGGTCGGGTCGGTCGGGCGGGCGGACCCTGACGGCGGGTCGGATCGGGTCGGGCGGGAGGGACATCAAATTTTGATGAATCATTGACTTGTCGCGCGAGTACCCTAACAGCCGGGACGGGCCGGACGGACCCTGACGGGCGGGACGGGTCGGGTCGGGCGGGCGGACCCGAACAGGCGGGTCGGATCGGGTCGGCGCGGGCGGGACATTCAAGAACTGCGCATCGTCGAGCTGGCACGCGAGTGCCCTAACGGACGGGACGGGTCGGGTCGGGCGGGCGGCCCCTGACGGCGGGGTCGGGTCGGGTCGGGCGGGACGTGAAAATACGATGGAGCATTGACTTGTCGCACGGGTACCCTAACGGGCGGGACGGGTCGGGCGGACCCTGACGGGCGGGACGGGTCGGGTCTGGCGGTCGGATACTAGCAAGCGGGTCGGATCGGGTCGGGCGGGCGGGACATTCAAGAATGGCGCATCGTCGAGCTGGCACGCGAGTGCCCTAACGGACGGGACGGGGCGTGCAGGCGAGCGGGCGGACGGGTCCTGACTGGCGGGTCGGGTCGGGTCGGGCGTGCGGGACATTGAAGTATGATGCATCATCGAGATGCGACGCAATTACCCTAACGGGTGGGTCTGGTCGGGCGGACCCGAACGGGCGGGACAGGGCGTGTCGGGCGGGCAGACCCTAACTGGCGGGTCGCGTCGGGTTGGGCGGGCGGGACACTAAAATATTGCGCATCATCGAGTTGGTGCGCGAGTACCCTAAAGGGCGGGTGGGGAAAGGCGGGCGGGCGGGACCCCAACGAACACCGCTCGGGCGGGCAAGACACTAACGGGCAGATCGGGTCGGGCGGGCGGGCGGACCCTAACAGGCAAGACGGGTCGGGTCGGGCGGGCGGACCCTAACGGGCGGGTCAGGTCGGGTCGGGCGGGCGCACCTTAGCAGGCGGGTCGGGACGGGCCGGGCAGGCGAGACATTAATATATGGCGCATCAGCGAGGTGGGATGCGAGCACCCCGACGGGCTGGTCGGGTCGGGCGGGCGGGCGGACCCTAACGGGCGGATCGGGTCAGGTCGGGTCGGGCGGGCGGTTCCTAACGGGCGGGTCGGGTCGGGTCGGGCGGGCGGGACATTGAAATGTGATGCACCATCCAATTGACAAGCGAAAACCCTAACGGGCGGGACGGGTCGGGCGGACCCCAACGGGCAGGACAGGTCGGGTCTGGCGGGCGGGCCCAAACCGGCGGGTCGGGTCGGGTCGGGCGGGCGAGATATGAAAATATGATGCATCGTCGAAATTGCACACGGATGCCCTAACAAGCAGGACGGGTCGGGCGGGTGGGCGGACTTGACCGGGCAGGACGGGTCGGGTCAGGCCTGGCGGGCGGACCCTAAGGGGCGGGTAGGTCGGGTCGGGTCGGCGGGACAATAATATATGGCGCATCATCGAATTGGTACGCGAGTGCCCTGAAGGGCGGTTGGGGTCGGGTGGGCGGGCGGGACCCCAACGAACACCGCTCGGGCGGGCAAGACACTAACGGGCGGATCGGGTCGGGCGGGCGGGCGGACCCTAACGGGCGGGTCGGGTCGGGTCGGGCGGGCGGACCCTGACGGGCGGGTCGGGTCGAGCCCTGTAGGGCGGGGCGGGTCGGGCGGACCCTAACGGGCAGGACGGGTCGGTTCGGGCGGGCGGACCCTGACAGGCGAGCGGGTCTGGTCGGGCGGCGGGGGATTCAAGTATTGCCCATCTTCGAATTGGCACGCGGGTTCCCTAACGGGCGGGTCGGGTCGGGCGGGCGGGCGGGTGCCTGAGCACCCGGCCCGAGTGCCTGGCCCGGAGCACCGGGAGTACCCAGAGTGCCTGCATGGTCGTGAGCGCCACTGGACCGGTCACCAGTCCTGCGGAACCAGACCTGTGGAAACAATTCGATGGAACCGGTACTGAGAAACCAGGCCAGTTGAAACAATTCAATGCAACTGCGGTTCGGCGGCACTGGTCCTGTTACACCGATCTTCGTTGAACTGGGCTTTGCTGAACCGGTCGTCTGTTGAACCGGCGTCTGTTGAACTGGTCGTCTGTTGAACCGGCGTCTGTTGAACTGGTCGTCTGTTGAACCGGCCTTCTGCCTGCTCCTCCATCCTCCTCCTCTTCTGTCCTCCTCACCCACCTCCTCCCTCCCTCCCGCCGCCTCCTTCCTCTGCGGGCAAGACGGATATCCATGTCCTCTGCATCTTGAAGTTTCGTGTGCCCTTCCCCACACACTACAGGCGCAGTGGATCTGAATAACCTCCAGATTAAAAAAGCACCCCCCGTCACGATTTTGGATTGATTACTCTGGCCGATACGAATTTGGTCGGGGGAGACGGACGGCAAGGCCGAACTTTCGTATCGGGGGGGAAAGTTGCGCATCGAAGTTACCATCTGCTTATGTTGACTGGCAACATCATCGAAATCGTGTGGCCTGGCAATGGGCGTCTGACCATTTCAGCGTTCGCAAATCACGAAAGTGTGGCATGGCTATGAGACTCTCACCATTTCAGCTCTCCCAGGTCACGAACGTGGCAGGGCTCTCGCGGCAGCCCAGGCGTGCACCAGGTGCTTGCCCCTCAAGGGCGGATTCAGGGGGGGCCGAGGCTGCTTGGGCGAGTTCTTCGAGACCGTTCGCAAGAGAGGCTTCCTGGCGAGGGGCGCCAAGGATCTCAAGAGCGCGGGCCAGCTTTAGGATCTCGAAGGCACGGGCCAAAGATCTCAAGAGCACAGGCCAAGCATCTCAGAGCAAGAGGACAACATCCTCCCCGTCGTCGTCGACCGTCGATTTGCCGGGAAACAAATCGTTTATCATCCCCCTGGGCCCCAACCTCAATTGTATCAGGGGTAGTTGGTTGAAAATCTGGCCCCTGGGGGCTAGATTTCCATCTATGGCTAGAGTTTCATCCCATGCGCTATACATCGTTCATTTCTCATCGTGCTCATTTCAAATTGTGCTCGTTTCTAAGTGTTCCTGGCCCCCAGTGGCCAGGAAGAGGCCCATGATAAAACAGTTTAAAATGAAAGGATCTTGGCTCCACAAAAAATCGAAGGACTTTCGAATAATGAGAAATGAGCAATGTATGCGTCTTGGCACTTTGCTGGCGGCGCGCACAACGGGGTCGGGGGACGGGAAATGCTTCTCAGATGGAGGCCGCTTCTCAGCAGGCGTCGGCCCTACATCTACACACAGAAGACCAGCGCCTCCTGAGAAGCAGGGGTGCTTCTAAGAGGCCATCCCCCCTCCCCGCATCCCCCCTCTGCGCGCGTCTTACCTAGTTGGGCACCCCCTCGCGGGAAGTCCACGACGCCTCCGCCCCCCTCCCTCGGCTGCACTGGGCAAGAATGGCCTTTGGTGCGCGGCTTTCAGGGAGCCGCGGGGGGGGGGGGGGGGCTAAACCCAGGCGCGCGAGACGCTACTGCCGCACCGCGATCGGCGATCGGGGGACCCCAATGGGCCCGCACCAAAGGTCACTCCCACGAAGGGTCACTCTTGCTTGTGCTCGACTCCCTCTAAAACAGGGCTAGGATCGGGATAAATCGCTCCAGAGCGTTCCGGAGCGCTCTCAGAGCGTTCCAGAACGCTCTGGAGCGGCCGCGGCGCCCAATACATCCGCCAAACCCGCCGATTCTCAGAGATTTCGAGTTATCCCGATCCGATTTTGTCCCGATCTTCGCGTCGTTTTACCCTTCCCCCTCGAAGACAAGAGCGCAGCCGGCCTCGCGGCACTCCTCCCACGCCGCGCCGCGGCCGCGCCACAGCGCGGCGCTGGCGATGCGCGCGATAGCGTCGCGGCGGGCGACGTGCGTGGTGGTGGGCTTGAACGTCTCCTTGCGGGCGTCGTGGGTCGGGGAGGGTGGCGGTCGAAGAGGGCGACGATCAAGATGCAGTGATGGGGAACTTCTCCACCAACACTGCCATAGGGAGGACGGAGGAGAAGGGAGGCTGGGGAGGTCCTCCTCTTAATCCTTTTCCTCCCCCTGTTCCTCCTCCTCCTCCTCCTCCTCCTCCCTCTTTTCCTCCTCCTCCCCTCCTCCTCCCTCCTCCTCCTCCTCCTCCTCCTCCTTCACCTCCTCCCACCCCTCCTCCTCCTCTCCCTCCTCCTCCTCCTCCTCCTCCTCCTCCTCCCTCCTCCTCCTCCTCCTCCTCCTCTCTTCCTCCTCCTCCTCTCCTTTTCCTCCTCCTCCTCCTCCTTCTCCTCCACCCCTCCTCCTCCTCGTCCTCCTCCTCCTCCCTCTTGTCCTCCTCCTCCTTTCCTCCTCCTCTCCTCTCCTCCTCCTCCTCCTCCTCCCTCCTCCCTCTTTTCCTTCCTCCTCCTCCCTCCTCCTCCTCCTCTCCTTCGTCCTCCTCCTCCTCCTCCTCCTCCTCCTCTTCTCCTCCTTCTCCTCCTTCCTCCTCCTCACCTCCACCCCTCCTCCTCCTCCTCCTCCTCCTCCTCTTCCTACTCCTCCGCCTCCTCCTCTTCCCCCTATCCTCCTCCCTCCCCATATCAGCAGTTGTTCTTTAGGCTCCGGCAGGCTTGTTTACAAACAAGAGGGGGCGTGGCGAGGTCCGAAAGGAAGCCTGGTCTTCGCGCACGTCGGGGCTCCCTTGGCCTTTTCGGCCAAGCGCTGTTTTAATGGCGGCGGAAGGGGGGGATGCCATGCAAGAACACATGCTGGAATCGAAAGAACAGTACGATCCAAGGATGATCGAGGGGGACGAGGATCCAGGGGGGATCTGCTTTTTTTCTTGCAAGGCCTCTTGCGCCGGGGGTGTTTTCCAGCAGCTGCGCCTCGTCGAAAACTTTCCGGGGGTGCGTGGTTGGTCCGATCTGCCCCGTGAGGCGAAAGGCATGACCCGAAACCACAAGGATTACTTCCTGCGGACATCGTGGATCGAGTATAGTCACGATCGTGCTGATCAACGGTGATCTAGGGGATGAAAAGAGCGAAGTGGACGACGACCGTTGAGAATCCACAGGGCAGATGGAGGGGGCGGACGGTCTTGGAAGGGGACAGGCTGGCCGAGGAGCCAGAGGTCTCGGCGAGGGAACTCGGCCAGAGATCGAAGATCACGTGGCTGGCTCCAGGCTGTCTGCCAAACACACCAGAATCCGAAGAAAAACATGTTTAACCCACGCGGGCTCCCGCCGACGACACTGCCCTCGTTTTGGCTTCCGCTGGCTTCCGTCGCCTTTCGCCGAGAAAGGGATGCCGACCCCTTGACCCCTCGAAGGCGACGCCCCGCTCTGGACCCCCGTGCCGGATCGCGGCGAGATGGGACCGACCAGTGGTCGGGCTGACGGCGGGACGCGTCCGTAGCTAACCGCCAGGGAGGGGAAAGAAGGGAGGAGGAAGAGGCCGCGGAACGGCCGCAGAGCTCTCAGACCATGTAGATGCCCAAGCAGCGCCGGAGGTTGGGCTCATAACCTCGAGGACGGACCAGAAGAAGAGCGAAGGACGTGCTGGAAGGCAAAGGTCCAGGGCAAAGCAGCAAAACCAAGGCAGACCCTGAGATCCTGGCGACTCAATCCAACCAACCCTTTAACGCGTAGGTGGTCTTGCGCGTTTTGTCTTCCATCTGCCCCTCTTCGGGGAGGGCCTTACCCCTTCCCCCATACCCCCCTCCCCTGGACATGACGGGGAGTCCACCGAGGGATTGGGACGTCCAAGATATCCCAAGATGGCTCCAAGAGCAACTCGGAGAGCCCAAGATGAGCTCCTAGATGGCTCAAAATATCCGAAGATAGCTCCGAATGGCCTCCAAGATGCTCCAAGAGGCCCCAAGACCGCTCCAAGCGGCTCCGAGAGGCCACAGAGCGCCCCCGGGAGGCCGCCAAGAGGCCACAAGTGTGGAATAACCAGAAAGGGGAAATCAGTGAGTCGTGCTTTCTCGCCCTTTCGCTTTCGATGGCCTTCCGAGGCCTCAAGATGGCTCCAAGAGGGCCCAAGAGGACCCCAAGGGGCTCAAGAGGCGACTTTTGAGGCTCCGAAGGGGGGAGAATTGAGGAACCCCTCATTTCTTGATCGATGTCCTCCAAAATGGCCCCAAGAGTGCCGTTTACGCTCCCAAGAGCGCCCCAAGAGGGCCCCAAGAGGCGCCCAGATAGCCCCAAGAGGCGCCCAAGAGGCCTCCAAGAGGCTCTCGCGAGGCCCCCAAGAGGCCTCAAGAGGATTCCCGAGGCATCCGAGACGCTCAAAGAAGCCCCTGAGCTCGCCAAGATGCTCCTTCTCCACCTCCTCCAACTCCTCCTCCTTGTCCAATGTATCTTCCCCCTTCCTCTTCAACGCCCTCCTCCTCCTTTTCCTCCTCCTCCTCCTCCTTCTTCTCCTCCACCATCTCTCTCTCTCTCTTGGATATCGGACGGTTTTCCCCGACCTTTGTTCTTCTACATGCTCCCCCACTTCGGTGATCACCTCAACTCCCCTGGGAATCGTTTCTAGATGGGCGAATGGGGATTTTTGATCGCGAGCGCAAACGGAAAGGTCGCGCGCCGTTCAGAGCTACCGCTAACCAGAAGGAGCCTAAATTGCAACAAGAGAGAGAGGAGAAGAAAGACAACAGGAGGCGAGTAGGGATACTTCTTTGATCGCGACCGCGGCGAAAGAGGTCGGGCGGCGTCTAGGAGACGAGTTTTTTTTTTTGTTTTTTTTGTTCGCGAACGCGCAGGAGAAAACCAGGCGCCGTCAGCAAATGCGGCTAACGAGCAGCGGACACGAGTGGGCCGGCGTTTTCATCCTGTTTCGGGCCACGGGACCCTCATGGATCGATTCAGCTCGAACAATGGAGCACAAAGATGGGGTTTCAGGGCTCTGGTCATGATTTTCAGGATGTTTGATGTATTTCTCAGGGCAGAGATGTCAGATCAGAGCGCGTGCGAGCCAACGGTCATCGTCCGAGCGAACGCGGTGTATGGCTCTGGACTGCGTACGGCCCGCCCGCCATCACGAGCGGCGCACATGTCCGTATCCGCGCCCTCGCGGTCTGCACTCCCGGGCGCGGTGCCGCGGATACCCGGTCGCACGGATACGTTCCGCGCGGGGCGTCCGCGAAAAGACACGCCCCGCATCCGCGCGGTCGCGGTCTGGGGGCCCGCCCGCGAGGCCGCGGACAGTGTCTCGCCCACGACCAGTCTGTCGCCGCCCGAGGGCACGCGGCGCGTGGCTCTGACCGGCGCCCAGCTGGCCTGCCGGCGGCTGCCGCTGCAGAAAGACGAGGGCAACGTACGCGCCAATTTCCGCGCATACGACCCTGTTTTTCTTTTTGCGTCGCTCAAGTGGGTCCAACATGCGTCTTCAATCGGAACATGCCTGATGTAACCCCCTGCCTCGTCCCCATCTGTGGGGCTGGGCTTTGCTCTGGCTGCAACACCGGCGCGAGGACAACGAACAACTGCGAGTGTCGGCCGGCGGGGGTTGAGGCCCCGCCTTCCTGTGCCCTGTCTCCCTAATCAAAGCTGCGCGTAGCCCGCCCAGCTTTTGGCGGAAGAGGGTCGCTCTCGCCCCGCAGATCAGACATGTGTCGGCGGGGGCTCGGCGCGCTCGCCCTGCAGGTCTCTCCGCGCAGGGTGCTCGCCTCCCCCTCGGCCTCTGCGGCCGTCTCTCTCTTCGACCGGCCCTGCTCCTGCAGCCGGCAGCTCCAGCGCGCCCTCGCCGCGCCGCGGCGGAAACGAGTCGGCGCCGGGCCGCCCTGGCCCCCCGACCGCCACCCGGCTGGAGTGGGGGTCAAGGCGCGCGAGGAGCACGGTGGGAAGCGCAAAACCGAGGCGGAGGATCGAGGAGGAGGAGGGAAGACCGAGGATCGAGGAGGAAGACGAGGGGGGTCGAGGACGACGTAAGGTAGTCATTTGTCTGGTGTGCGGTGGGATATCTACGGGGAGGGCTTCATCCTTTTTGGACCCCTGCCCCCCGCCCCCTGTCTCCAAGCGGGGACGGTCCCACATCCATAGGTTTAATACCAACAGGCATCCTGCCGATCTGCATCGCTTTGAAAGTATTTCGGGGCAGAGGAGGTTGCAGGTTGCCGATCCAGAGGTCGCCTGGCTACGCCTAGACGCCTAATCCATATGGATGAATTCGCGAATCAATCGTAAGTCTGAGCTATTCATTTTCGTGTCATTGTGCTGCTCAGCTGCGCAGTGGCGCCTCTCCGCCGAGATCCCCAGGGTTGGCATCGAGAGGTGTCGTGAGCAGCGCTCGGCCTGCTTCTATGGCAGTGGGCCAGTTTGAAAGTGGTCGTGTGTGTGCGAGCCGCGACGGATCCCTTCTATGCGGCGTACTACCCCTCCTCCTCCTCCTCCGCCTCCTCCTCCTCCTCCGCCTCCTCCTCCTCTGTATTATCCTCCTCCCCCTTCCCCAACTCCTTCTGTTCTCCTTTCCTCCTCCGCCTCCTTCTCCTCCTACCCCCCGCCCCATGCACCACCACCACCACCACCACCACCACAACCTCCTCACCAACGCTCAAAAAACAGCAGCACACAACACAATACACATAACAACAACAAACAAACATACCAAATTCATCTGGCTTCCTCATCCCTCTCCTCTTCCTACCTCCTCGCCCTTGTCTTACACCTTCCTCGCACATCCTCCTCCTCCTGGCTCATTATCCTCATAATGTTCCTCCTCTCTCATCCCGAGTGCCTGAGCGCCAGAAGGCGCAAGAGACCGTCGGAAATCTCTCCTCCTACTCCTCCTCTTCCTCCTCCTCGTCCTCATCCTCTCCCCCTCCTCCTCCCTCCTCGTCCACCTCCACCTCCTCCCTCCTCGTCCTTCTCCTCGTCCTCCGCCTCCTCGTCCTCGTCCTCGTCCTCTTCCCCCTGGTCGTCCTCCTCCTCCTTCCTTCCCCCTTCCCCCTCCTCCCTCGTCACCCCTTCCCCGCCCAGCCCGCCGAGGCCCCGCGGGTGTCCGCGCTGAGGTCGCCGGGGGCGGTCAGGAAGAAGACGAGGCCGTCGCCCTTGCCGTCGCCTCGGGGGGGCGGCGTCTCCCCCCCCCCCCGGGGGAGACTCGGGTCGGGCGAGAGGGGGGGATAGCAAGGGGGGGGGCTGAGAAGCAGCTCGCGTACTATTTTTCATAAAAGGGTTTCCTAGCGAAGAGCTTCCGCGCACAAGGCGCACAAGAGGCCTTGGGCAGACCAGTGCTTGGCCACGGAAGGTCCAATATGCAACTCGCATCAGGGCTCACGGTGTCGCGCGATACATCCTCGCAGGTGAGATCTCGGAGATGCATGCCCCGTGGTGGCTCAGCCCGCTATCGACTGAGACATCTGCGCAACGCTGGCTCTGAAAATGAGCTCGGCTGAGGTGGCCACGACACTGGAACTTAACACATCCTCGCAACGCTGGAATCCCACACACCCCGCCGCCCAATGAGACAATCTCGCAACACTGGGATGCGAAGTTGTAAGCCATTGCGGCCTTCAGTACCCCCGCAACTCTGAGTCCACGCGAACCCTGCCAATTGTGGCCTGGGCGCGCTCGCCTACGACATCCTCGGAACTCTGCGCCCCGGCATGCCTTGAGCCGACATGATCGGGCGACCCTCTCCGGAGACATCTTCGCAACGCTATTAAGTGTTATGCCCCATAGTGGCCAAGCATACTTCGCACGAGACATCCTCGCAAATCAAATCTACAACATGCCTTGGGTTGAAGTGGGCAGGTCGCTCCCGCGCGAGACATCCTCGCCACTCTGGTTTTCGAGGAACCTTGCCTTGAGATGATCAGGCAGCCTTCGCTTGACACATCCTCGTAATTATGAGTTCAACGACGCCTTGCCCTGAACTCAAATGGTCGGGCCACTTTCGCCCGAGACATCGTCGCAAACCTGAGTTCGGCGATGCCTCGACGGAGGGTGGTCTCGGCCACTTTCGTTTTGCACGCCCTCGCCACAACGGTGTCCGACGAAGCGAGGGTTTCGGTGGACAGGCCAACCTGGCCTGAGAAATCCTCGCACTTCTGACCTCCAGGATCAAATGCCGAACGGCGACTTGGATACTTTCACTTGGGGCACGCTCGCAATTAAAGCATATGGCATATGGCGCCCCCTCTCTTCCTCGTGCTCCTCAAGCTCTCCCCCCCCCTCCTCCTCCTCCTCCTCGTCCTCCTCCTCCTCCTCCTCCTCGTCCTCCCCCTTCTCCTCCTCCTCCTCCTCTTCCTCCTCCTCCTCCTCCTCATCCTCCTTTTCCTCCTCTTCCTCCCCCTCGTCCTCGTCCTCCACCACAATTACTCAATATGAGTACTACTCTCCCTCTTCCCCTGATGACGGCCTGGGAATGTCCGACCCCCCCCCCCGCGTACTGTTTTGTTACACACAAGTTTCCCCAGAGTTGGGCTTTCGCCTGCAATTTTTCAAAACACTGCTCTCGCTGAGGCGCCGGCTTCATTTTCGGGCCCCGCTCGTTCCGAATCGTGCTCCCGCTCCAGCGGTGGCCTTATTTCCGCGCTTCCGCTCGTTCCGAATCGTGCTCCCGCTGCAGCGCTGGCCTCATTTCCGCGCTTCCGCTCGTTTCGACTCGCGCTCTCGCTGCAGCGCTGGCGTCATTTCCCCGCGCCATGCCACGGCATGCAATGCAATGTTCGGTTGATGTTACGCTTTGCGGTGCTCTTCTACGCCATGCCATGCCATGCCGTGATCTGCAACGCATCGCGCACCCTTTTCGGGATCATTGCCCTGCTCGAAATCCGACTGCGCGAGTAGAGAGGGGATCTGCGCCATGGTAAGGGATGGGAGGGAGAGGTAGGATGTCATATACGACGCGAGCGCACGTAGCTTGTCCTCCTCCTCCTCCTCCCCCTCTTCCTCCTCCTCCTCTTCCTCCTCCTCCTCCTCCTCCTCCTCCTCCTCCTCCTCCTCCTCCTCCTCCTACTCCTCCTCCCTCCTCCTCCTCCTCTTCTGATCCTCCTCCTCCTCCTCCTCCTCCTCCTCCTCCTCCTCCTCCTCCTCCTCCCTCCTCCTCCCCCCCCCCCTCCCCCCATCCCCTCCTCCTCCTCCTCCTCCTCCTCCTCCTCCTCCTCCTCCTCCTCCTCCTCCTCCTCCTCCTCCTCCTCCTCCTCCCCCCCTCATCGCCCCATTCCTTGTCCTCCTCCGCGCTCTCCTCGTCCTCGTCCTCGTCCTCGTCCTCGTCGTCCTCGTCCTCGTCCTCCTCCTCCTCCGCCTCCTCCTCCTCCTCCTCCTTCTCCTCGCCCCCCTCCTCCCTCTCCTCTGATGAGCGCTGCGGGCTGCGCGGATGACGGCCGCAGGGCTGACCTTCCAAGGCCCCCAGGATGAGCCTGGGCAGGCCCTGGGGTCCGCGCAAGGTCCGCACAAGGCACGCACAAGAGGCCGCACAAGTGGTTCCACGAGCCCGCGGATTTTCAGCCCAAGGGCCGGCGCCAGAACCTCTCGCGCGGTCTCTCGGGCGCAGCTTGCGCGGGCCCCAAAGGCCTGTCGAGACTCATCCCCGCGCCCCGCAAGATCGAAAGAGACCTGGGAGCCAGCGCCTCTATCCTCTCCCCTGGGCGCCTGCGACCGACCACCCCCCGCGCTGCCGTCGGGGATAGGGTGGGGGGGGGGTCGAACGCGAGGCCTGCGAACCCGCGCCTCTATCCTCTCTCCTGGGCGCTCGGCACCCAGCGGCGACGCCCCTTGGGGCGACGGGGAGGGAGAGGGAGTTTTTTTGCTCGAGCCTAAGAGTCAAAGCAGCTGCTTGGGCCTACTGGCACACGCTGGGTTCGGGGATGAAAATATGTCGATTCAAACGATGCCCCTGGCCTCGAGCGCCTGGCTCGGCCGCGCCGCGGCTGGGCGCTGCGCGGCTGGGCGACGAAGCCGGCCGCGCAGGCGCCGCGGAGTGAGACGCTCTGAAGGGCGGCGCCGCGGAGAACATCACGCCCCTCTTGCCGGTTAGCGAGTGCACGGGCCCCACGTGAGGGCCGCGCAGGTCGTCTGACGCTGCGCGGCGCTGTTCTGGCGCCGTCGTCGCTCGCTTGCGGAGCCGCTCCTCCATCTGCGCCCTATCGCCTGCACTGCGCGGGCGACGTGTTCTCGCAGGCGGGCTGGGCGACAGGTGCGCTCGGGCTTGCGTAGACCTTCCGCCATGGTTCTGGCGCATGTGCAAGCCTTCTTCAGCATCTCTTGCTGCTTCTTCGACAACGGTTTCTTTGACGTGCCGAACTCGCGCTGCAACCACTCGACTCCTGCCATCCGGGCCAGTTCGTCCCGGCGTTTTGCTGCTGCGCGCTCCTTCTCGTCGGCCTCTGTGCGCGGCTTCTTGGCCATCCCCTCGACGGGCGCCATGTCGGCCCTCCGCTTGGCTGCGGCTTCGCGAGAGAACATAAACATTCGGCGGTCGGCCGCCGATGTCCTGGATCTGCGCTGAACCCTCCTCCCGGGCAGAGCCCAGCGCCGATCTAAGAAATCCGCCGAGAACCGCCGAACGATCACATTTACGTTGCTGTTGTCCCCAGGGGGATGACAAAAATACACGAAGCAGCCCTGGACTCTCGAGGATCTGCGGCGCGAAACTGCTGAGGGGCCCTCGGCGTCCAAGAACGCCTTCAACAGATCGGCCATGGCGGAATTCTCAAAAATACTGACGGGCACAAAAGACAGCCGGAGCAGAGCTCGGGAACTCGAGCCATACCAGCATGCGCCGATCCCCTGTTCCTGCTCGCCCTCCTCGTCCTGCTCCTCTCCTCCTTTTCCTGGTCCACCTCCTCCTCCTCCTTCTCCTCCTCCTCCTCCTCCTCCTCCTCTGCGCCCTCCTCTTCCTCCTTGTCCTCCGCGCCATCCTCCTCCTCCTCCTCCTCCTCCTCCTCCTCCTCCTCCTCCTCCTCCTTCTCCTCCTCCTCCTCTGCTCCTCTCCTCCTCCTCCCTCCTCCTCCCCTTCCTTTCGTCCATATTGTCCTCTTCCTCCCCGCCTCCTTCCTCCTCCTCCCCCCCTCCTCCTCCTGCTTAAATTTTTTTGGGGGTGCAGAAACTATTTGTTTCAGAACGTGCTGTAAGTCACCCTGATGACTCTCGGGGCTCTTTCTGGGATTCCTAGGGACGCGTGTTCCCACCGCCGCTGCACATAAGACCCGAGTTTCGGATGGACCACCGTGCAGTCTTTTTTACCTAACAGCGAAGACTGGTAGGTTTCTAGTAGTGTCAAAAGAAAGCATCTTGACTCCCCAGGGGGGTCTGGCCGGGTGCCGGGGAGAAACCGCGGAAGTCGTTTTAAGCACACAATTACACACTTCGTGGTCTTCGAGGTCCCAGAATTCCACTCCGGGGCCACATTCTGAATGCCCAGAGCCAACTGTAGGCCACTTCGTGGTCTTCGAGTTCCCAGAACTCCACTCCCGGGCCACATTTTGAAAGGCGATGGACAAGGCCTTGGACACAATCGTGCGCATGCATGTGGTATTAGACCTTTGCTTCAAGAAGAAACACGCGTCAGGGAACTTCCTGGACCACTTTGAAACATTGATCCCAGGGGCCGCGATGCAGGACCTGACTGACACCAAGTCTTCTCTTGCAAAATACCGCCGCCAACACGACGTCCCAGCAGTACGCCTTCATTGAAGCGGCTGAACGCATACAGCAAAGCTCTAGGTTGCATGTTCGTCCAGGTGTACAGCTGGATAGGGCATCGAGTCTAAGGTGCACAGCCGTGGATTGCGTCGCGGCTTTCGTTGCGATGGTTATACGCATCAATGTCCCCGCCATCGGCTTCGTTTGCCTCGTCGAAATCCCAGCTTTCCTTCGTAACCCCGCCGTGAATGACCCGAGTGGGGACATCTTCACCGATCCCAGCAACACGTGGCGTTTACCAAACGTCCCCAGGCGCTTACTCAATAGCCTTGCCTTGGTCGGGTTCTTTCCGGGGTGCGTTTACTAAAGGGCTTCGCCCGTTTTTAAATGTGTATATATATATATATAGAAATGTGTTGTTATGTTTCGGGTGGTTATTCTGCCCTCTACTTCAGGATGCAACGCCTTGGAGGTTCAAATCAGCATCGGCGCCGGGAGATCCGCGCTCGAAAACCGGCATACATTTGACTTTACCCAGTCTAATTCGACTAGGTCCCAGACTTAATCCAACCTGGTCCGGCCTAGTGACCCCCGGGTCTGGCTTGTGAATACTTCCGCGGAGTTGTTCTCTTCAGGTGTTCGATCATGGACCCCGTGTCGCACGTAACCATCCAGCTTTCGCGCCGAAAGCATCTAAAAACCGCCAAAGGCCGCTGGAGACTGCCGAAGACGGCCCGCGAGCGATGGGTACCAAGGTGCCCATGGTCGAACACGTAGGTTCGAAAAATACGAAATCATTGAAGCCAGAGAGTCGGGCCACACGAAAGGGTAGGATAGGGAAAGGGGGGGGGACGAGATTTGCTGCATGAGGCTGGTAAGACTCGAACTCGCTGGAACTCGAATTTGCCCGCTCTTTTTGACGAGCTCGTCCTGGATTTTGACGCTCCAGTTTCCGTGGGATGTTTGCGGCGGGAGCTCGCGCCACATTTCAGTCTGGGTCTCGTCGTTTCCATGCTGGCCCCGTCAGGCCAACCCGAGTCCCCCGATCCCGAGTCTTGCGTCTCCCGGGCCGGACGAAAGGGGGGGGATTGGGAAAGGGGCCTTGTGCGGGGGACCTTGTGCGCTCTTGTGCGGTGAGCTTATGCGCGCTGCTGGCGTCAAACTGGCATGCACCAGTTTACGAGCAATAGTAGAGCACCCCCCTTGCATGATACAAATGTGGGCAGTTTTTGTATCATCCATCTGGCGTCCTCTTCCTTCCTCCTCGCCTCCTGCCCCTGTTCCAGCTGCCCTTTTCGAGCCACATTGGGGTGGCTCTGGCACGCAGCCTAATACCTGCCAACCTAATACGTGCCAGGCCTGCCGGAATTCTTCTGCCGAGCTCAGAGAATTGATTTTGCAGATTTTACGTTCGTATTTTTTCCGTGCTTGTCTCCTCCCCTCCCTGGCCTCCCCTTCTCCTGCATGTCGTACTATTTCGGTTCGCTGAGTTGTTTTTCATTCACTATGCCTCGTCGCCGTGGTCTTGCCTGGCGTCGGCTGCAGCGTGTTTGAGTTTTTTCTTTGATTGTTATTACACCCTCCTCTGGAGCCACGGTCTTGCCTGGCCTCCACAGGGTTCCGGTGTAATTGCGAGAGCACATCATTGCAAAGAGGCCCATAGAAACAACATATCCCGGCAAAGCAACCTAACAGCGATGTGTAGGAGCATATCTGGAAGCATTCCCCTTAAGATTCAGATGAGAATCCAGTTGTAGAATTCTGCTGTTCTCGCAGTCGTAGTCGCATTCGCGGTGACAGTCGCAATGGCCTGCATCAGCCTCAGCCTCAGCCTCAGCCTGCCTCAGCATCAGCCTCAGCCTCAGCCTCAGCCTGCCTCAGCCTCAGCCTCAGCCTGCCAGCCTCAGCCTCAGTCTGCTCAGCCTCAGCCAGCCTGCCTGAGCAGCCTCAGCCTCAGCCTCAGCCTGCCTCAGCCTCAGCCTCAGCCTCAGCCTCAGCCTCAGCCTCAGCCTGCAGCCTGCAGCCTCAGCCTCAGGCCTTCAGCCTCGGCCTCAGCCTCAGCCTGCCTCAGCCTCAGCCTGCATCAGCCTCAGCCTCAGCCTCAGCCTGCCTCAGCATCAGCCTGCCTCAGCCTCAGCCTCAGCCTCATCCTGCCTCAGCCTCAGCCTGCCTCAGCCTCAGCCTGCCTCAGCCTCAGCCTCAGTCTGCCTTCAGCCTCAGCATCAGTCTGCCTTCAGCCTCAGCCTCAGCCTCCGCCTGCCTCAGCCTCAGCCTGCATGAGCCTCAGCCTCAGCCTCAGCCTCAGCCTCAGCCTGCCTCAGCCTCAGCCTCAGCCTCAACCTGCCTCAGCCTCAGCCTCAGCCTGCATCAGCCTCAGCCTCAGTCTGCCTTCAGCCTCGGCCCCAGCCTCAGCCTGCCTCAGCCTCAACATCAGCCTGCCTCAGCATTCAAAATGTGGCCCGGGAATGAAATTCTTACGAAGAACACGAAGTGGCCTACGGCTGGCTCCGGGCATCCAAAATCATGCCCTGGAATGGAGTTCTGGGAATTCGAAGACCACGAAGTGGCCTAGCTCCGGGCTTTCAAAATCATGCCCAGGAATGGAGTTCTGGGAACTCCTCCTCATCATCATCATCAGTGCCTCAGGAAACTGAAACTCACCTGTCCGACGACGGTGTAAACCCAGCTCACGTTCCCTATTGTCCGGCGAACAATCAGACACATTGGGGCTTCTGCGTCTCAGTGATAGCAAAAGCCGACATCAAAGGATCAACAAACAACGTCGCTACGAACGCGTGGCTGCCACAAGCCGGTTATCCCTACGGTAACTTTTCTGACACCCCTCCTGATCCGCCTCCTCGTCCTCCTGATCCTCCTCCTCCTCCTCTCCCTCCCCCACCTCCTCCTCCTCCTCCTCCTCCTCCTCCTCCTCCTCATCATCAGAGTGCCTCAGGAAAGTGAGATTCACCTATCGAAGCCCAGAACGTTCCCTATTGTCGGCCGGCCAATCAGGCACTTTTTTTTGGACTTCTGCGTCTCAATGATAGCAAGAGCCTGCATCGAAGGATCAAAAAGCAAGGTCACTACGAACGCGTGGTTGCCTCAAGCCAAATACCCCTGTGGTGATTTTTCTCAAACCCCTCCTGATGCTCCTCCTCCTCATTCTCCTGATGCTCCTCCTTCTCGTCCTCCTGTTCCTCCTCTCCCTCCCGCTCCTCCTCCTCCTCCTCGTCATCATCATCCTCATCATCATCCTCATCACCACCACCATCATCATCCTCATCATCATCATCATCATCATCATCATCATCATCATCAGAATCATCATCAGCATCATCAGCAGCACCATCATTTCATCATCACCATCATCAGCAGCATCATCATCAGGACCAACATCATCATCATCAGCATCATCATCAGCAGCAGCATCAGCATCATCATCAGCAGCACCATTATGACATCAGCATCATTATCATATCAGCAGCATCATCAGCAGCATCAGCAGCATCATCATAGTCATAGTCATACTCCTCATCATCTTCATCATCATCATGATCATCAGCAGCAGCATCACCACCACCACCACCACCATCATCATCATCATCATTATCAAACATCAGTATCAGCATCATCAGCAGCATCATTACCACCATAACCACCACCACCACCAAAACCACGACCATCAACAACAGCAAAAGAATCGTCATCATCATCAGCATCAGCATCATCACCATCATCATCATCATCATCACCATCGTCATCATCATCAGTCGCATCATCAATTTCATCATCATTCTCATCATAGTCATCATCATCAGCACCATCATTATCATCATCATCATCGTCATCATCATCATCATCATCATCATCATCATCACCTTAATCAGATTCGTCATCATCGAAATAGCCATCCTCATCGGCACCGCCATCATCATCATCATCATCGTCATCGTCATAATCACCATCCTCATCATCAGCATCATCATTATTACAATCATCATCGTCATCATCGTCATCCTAATCATAATCGTCGTCAGCATCATCATGGCCATCGTCATAATCATCACCGCCATCATCTTCATCATCAGCATAACCCTCGTCGTCATCACGAGTTTCGTCATCGTCATCATCACCACCATCATCATCATCGTCGTCATCCTTAATCATCGACATCATAATCATCATCGTCATCATCAGCATCATCAGCATCACCATCATCGTTGTCATCGTCAGCGCCTTCGTCATCATCATCATCACCACCAACAACAACACCAACAACAACTTCAACACCACCAACAACAACAACAACAACATCACAACAACAACAACAACAACAACAACAGCAACAACAACAATAACAACAACAACACCAACACCAACAACAACAACAACAACAACATTACTGACACGACGGAGAAGCGTGCATCACATGTTGCGGCTCTGCCAAGCGTCTGGGAACGAGGCATCACACGTTACGGTATCCCGTGCCCCCTCCAACAGTCGCCGCCAAAAATGATGGGGTGGCCCAGGGGCTGGACTTGCTGCAGGCAGCTGGATCGCCTCTCATCGTGGTGCCGCTCTGGTACAAACACCCGTACTTGCCGAGCCCGTGCGTGTTCGAGATATAGAACTGAGAAACACTGAAGGCAGAGCACCAGAACGAGAAAAGGGTAAAACGAAGTGTGTCCGTCAAAATTCTGGGCTGGGTCGCGGTGCAGTCGCAGTAAATGATCATTTTCGTACTGCGCTGCGCCCCGTTGTACCGGACCTCGTACTCTCTGGCGTAGGCAGCGCACGCAGATCGCTGAGCCTCCGTGCGGAGAGGTGATTGTTGCCATTCGGTCTCGCTTGAAAGAAGTGGCGGTGGGAACGCTGCAGAGAAACAGCGTCACAAAGCACACGGGCCAGCGAGCTCTCTCGGCTGCCATCCCACGGAACGGACTGACAGGAGACTATCTGGGTGTACGAAGTGGCAAAGTACTGTGGGTGCACATGCGGTGCGCGATCCGCACTACGACGGACCGAACCGAGAGGCTCTGAAACGCTGGGGGGTCTCTCCCTCCCCCCCAGACCTGCGGCGCGCCCAGGAAACCCGGGGGGGGGGTGGCTGGCTGGTGGCCACTGTGGGCATTCTTTGAGGGCTGCAGGGACAACACCCCGAGGGCAGCCGGGAGGTGGACCAGCCGCGGCCTGACCTCAGTCGGCTCCCACGTCCGCGCACAGGGGACAACAACTCCGGTGGAAGGAGGGCCCCCCCACCTCCCTGGCGAATTCCAGGGGTAGCAGGGGATGGAGGGCATCCCCCCTTGCACCAGGGGTTTCCCGAGTGAGCGCATGTGAGTGCGGACAGGGAGCTGTAAAAGGGATCCGCCCTGGGGTCAACCATCAAGTCCTTGCAAGGCATACCGCAGTCTGCCAGCGTGGGTGGTGGAGACCATCCGGATCCGCTCCCAGCCCCCACACCCGACCCACCTCCGCGGCCTCAGTCCTACCTGACCCCCTTGGGGCCAGGACGCACTAAGCAGCCGGAGACGGCAGGGCGAGGGCGAAGGCAGCTGAGTCTGGACGGAGGAGTGGACGGGGAGCCCTGGAAACTTCTTCGCTCCTAAGAGAGGACGAAAGAGACAGGAGAAAGGAGGGGAGGGAGGGGGCAGCAGCGGCAACAGCTTGCTTGAAAACTCGGGCTCGCAATGCAAAGCATGCGTTCACCCAGCATCTTAGTGGATATGTAGCTTATGCGCCCTCGGCTGGAGGCCTCAACCCCTCGGAACAGAATCCCCCAGCCTTCGACACGAGCGGCCCTGTGACTGGTCTGGCCACCGGCCTGTTATGCAAGAAGTCTCTGAGTTGCTAGCACCTGAGAGGGAACGGGAGGAGGGAGGAGGGAGGAGGGATGAGGGAGAAAAGGATGGCTGGCCTGGGCTGGCCTGGGCTGGCCTGGGCTGGCCTCGACTGGCCCGGGCTGGCCTCGGCTGGCCCGGACTGGTCTCGGCTGGCTCAGGCTGCCCTGGCCTGGTCGGGGCTGGCCTGAGCTGGCCTCGGATGGCCTCTGCTGGCCTGGGTTGGCCTGGGCTGGCCCGGGCAGGCCTGGGCAGGCCCGGCCTGGCCTGGGCTCGCTCTCGCTGGCCTCGCCCCAGAAGGAAGGAGCAGGGATAAGGGAGCAGGGGGCAGACGAGAAGCGAGGGGAAAGGGGGGGGGGAAGGAGAAGGGGGGAAATCGCGTGGTGGCAATAGGCGTCTTCATGCGCTGCCACGCGCAGAGATAGCCACGAGGAGGGCGATTGCCCCGGACTCAGAAGGTGAGAATGCGGGGGGAATGCGGGTCGTCCGGGGCGGCCGACAAAGGACCTCCGGAGGTCACCAGGACAAACAGGATAGCCCCCGGAAAACTCTCGGCGGGGCGCAGCCCTGGACAGCGAAAGCAACCGTGGACGTCAGCGCATTGCCCCAAAAGGCATACCTACTGGAGACACCGTGACCGCGGCGCGCGAACGCCCACCAGGAGACAGGGAGGGGATGGGAACAGAGGTTCGGCAAATGATACGATCGATCCAGCACAGGCGTACTTGATGCCGCTGCACAGTCGGCGCGGTGAGACAAAAAAACGCGTTCGCTCAAAGAGGGGCTCGGGGAGATGGGGGGAAGCACGCGGGGCAGGGTACCGCAGGAGATCCGAGCGCACCAGCTCTAGCACAGAGAGACTAGCATCACCTATCCCCAAGGTGCGAGCAGATCCCCACAAGCAAGGCAGGGCGGAGAAGACTCCCGCAGGCCTGCCAAAAAGCACCCCTGGCCCTACCCTACCAGAAGCCCAAAACGCACAAGCTTCCCCAGCTGCGCCCGGCTGTGGCGACGAGAATGCCTCCAGCAAGCTGCCGGGTGCCCCCACGAAGAAGCAAGGCGGAAAAGACCACCAAGCCAAAAAGCACCCCCGGGGACCAAGCACACCAGCTCCGCCAGCAGCGTCCAGCCGTGGCGACGAGGAAGCCCCCAGGAAACCGACAGCCAGCGCCCAAAACCGCACGCCGCCAAAGAGCCTGGCCTCAGCGTCCAGCCGCCCAAACACCCGGCGCTCCCGGGGCCCCCTGCCCACGAACGCATGCCCACTGGGTTTGCCCATCGCCTTCGACGTCTACCGTGCCGCAGGAGAGTCCTCTGACCAAGCGCGTGAAGAACTCCACCCAATTCGAACATGCCGATCCACGTTTCCACTGCGAGAACCAGATCTGGAGAAGCTGAGTGATGTACTGAACGGCGCCAGGGTCAAGATTGTCTCGTGGGTCGCGAGGCGCGTTCCTCAACAATTTCTCATCGTCGAAGAATCCGTCACGGTGCCCCCTAGCACGTCGAGGCGTATTGGAATCCAGGTGGGTGCCTGGAAGGGCTCCTGCGATATCCTAAAAGCCCCCCCCCCCCCACCCCTCGCCCCCCCGACAGCCCGAGGCCACGGTCCCACACAAACACACTGGGTGGGTAAGTGCGCTCGAAACCACGATCCTGAGTGAAGAACCACAGATCCGCGCCCCCGTGGCCACGACCCTTTGCGAAGCATGGAAAGCTCGAGGCGGCCCGAACAGGCCCCTCGACAACACACGAGGCTCCCAAGACTCCCCGAGAGGGCCACAAGAGGATCCACAGCAGAGCCACAAGGTGTCAAACGCATCGAATTCGTTATGGGCTGGCACATGTTGGCGTCTTCGCATTCCGGGGCTTCCATCAGCTCAAGACGGCCCTAGAAGCATCCAACATAGCCCCAATATAACCAACACATTCTAGGATAATCCGCCAATGCGGTCTCAAAACGGCCTAGGCCCCAAATGACCATTCAGACAGCCAAGATGGCCCTAACATAACCCCCGAAACGGCCCAAGACAGCTCCAAGGCGGCTCGATAGGGCCCCAAGGGAATCCTCAGACCGCCCCACGCCCATGACAACTTTAAGACGACCCAGCATAGCTCCATGAGATCTCCTCAAGAAGCGAAGAAGCATGTGACACATGTGACGACCGTCATTTGTTCCTCCGCATCTCGTCCGCTTCCCCCTCCCCCTCCTCTTCCTCCTCCACCTCCTCCGCCTCCTCCTCTCCGTCTCCGTCTCCGTTTTCTCCCCTTACACGGCCACAGCAATGACCGAGGGTACACGCCTGGCTGAAGCCAAGGAGCGGGGGGGAGGCGAGGCAAAAAATCGTGGTAGGCGGTAGGAGGGCCGCTGTCTTGAATGGGGCCTCGCTCGGGCACCTCGGAGGGCAGGACGGACCTAGCCCGAACCGCCATCGATGCCAAACGCGGGGCCCGCATCAACACGCGACTGACGCCACAGGGAGGCCGCCGGCAGCTGCAGGCACAACAAAGGCGCAAACATACATCGCAAGAAACAACATCGAACAGCGACGCGCAAGCACCAAACAGTCCCAAAAGGAGGGCCACCCCAACGAGAATCGATGACAAACGCTGGCAACACAGCTGGCAGCCCACCCTCCGGCACAGTCGGGCGCAACGACTGACGCCCGCTACCACCGCGTCCTACCCCCCAGCCCCGAGGCAAAGCCGAACGACCAATATGACAAAGACCAGTACCGTGTTGGGAGGAAGAGGCTGGGAAGATACACGGCGCGACTTTGCAATATGCACCTTCAACTTGCGAAGTGATACTGGTATTGGTGACGTGACTATTTTTTTCCCAACCCCATTTTCCAACCCGAGAAATGTCTTGGACCCTGGGGCCTTCCCCCAGAACGAGTTCCTGAATCGTTTTTTGACCGTCCCGGGGCCCGTGGAGGGCCCCGGGAGGCCGAACACGGATAAAAACTTCAGGGCCCGTTTCCCTCAGGACCCGTCTTTCCCATGGCGATACTTGCGTCCGGCTCGTGCTCGGAGGGCACGGAAGGCGCGAGTCCGACGGCGTTCGATACGACCCGTCTGGGCCCCAACCGAATCGAGATGTAAAGGAAAGACCCCAGTGTTCAACCGCCCTCACCGTTGGTCAAAGCCACAAGGGTGACATCGACACGGAAGACGACCAGACTGATTCACCTAGAGGCGCGATGACAGGTGGCCCATCGTCCGGTGTTTCTCCTCCCATCAGCGCCCATGGGGGCTCCCCGACTAAGATTGGGGTTGGCTCGTCCTGCGCCATCCCTCAAGCCCAGAGGAAGACCCTGTTGGACGCGTTCACGAGAGGCGGCCCGAAGGCCTGTGCACCCTGCTTCATCCGCGGGACGACCAACCCAACCAGGACCCGAACTGGGCATGCTACGAGGACCTGGGGGGGGGGGGAAAGGGACGGAAGGGAAAGGGACGGAAGGGTTGAAAAAGGGCCGCTTTCCTGTCGGGAGCGCGCGCAGCGTCCGCCCCAGAGTTAACCAGGGCCGTGCAGCAACTCCCCGAGAAGGGAGGGAGGGGCGGCGAGGATACAAATACCCCGCCGCTGGCGAGACCCACCTGCCAGGGCTCGAGCAGGACTCGAGAACCCCGCGCTACGACGACAGACGAAGCGAGGACACGACGACGACGACGACAACGACGACGACAACGACGACGGACGCACGACCACGAACCCCCCACGGTGAGCGAGTGGGTCACGCCTAACGCCCAGCGGGAGGGGTGCCTATCCCCAAGCCGCCAGCAGGATCCGCCCTCCTCCAGGCTCCGAATGCTGGAGCGCAGCAATATAGGGAACCTGTCGCCACAGGACCCACATCGCACGCAGGCGGTGCCACAAGGCGCCGGGGCAGCAGTGCTTCGCCGCGGTGGAAGGGCATATAAGAAGCGCCCTGGCCTGGAGGCCCCCACCGCTCCATCATCACTAGCATCACCAGAGCCATGGTAATCACGATAACCATTATCATCGCGATCGCCGTCATCAGCATGGCCATCATTTTCTTCATACTGCACATTATCCGCAAACGCCTCCTCATATGGTCATCATAATCATCCTCATCCTCAACATCCTCTTCGTCACCCCACTCACTTCGTATTCCTTGTCAGCACCATAGCGCGAATTGGCAGAGCATGTCATATGCAACGGCTCTCCCAACCCACGGGACACGATGTGTCACACGCTACGGTTTCCTGACAATCGCACGCCGGGGGCTGGGTTGGCACGGCGGAGGGAATTGCCGCAGGCAACTGAATAACTTACGAATCTCTTCGACTGGCTTCAAACAACACAAGGAATCGTCGAACAAGTCCGCGTCGCTCTTCCCTTTGGTCGCCCTCGACTGGTACATCTCCGTTGCTATATGGGCTGGCATCGTTCCATACTTCAGCGATGCCAAGTCGGCCAACACTTCTCCCGTGCACGCAGCCTTGCCCCCCAAGACAGGTATGCACAGCCCCCAATAGTTCATCTCAGCAAAGGCCAAGCAACTCATATCGGATTGGCGAACACAATTTTGTAATAACGTCGTGAGGCACGTACGGATATGTTCTGGCTCGTGTTAATCAGCATGCCAATCGTCAACAACGGATGTGCTCGGCTCGTCCTCTGCGGCTTTTGCAAACACGACCTGGAATAATGGAAGGCGGTAGAGCGCCCCCTCGGCAACCAATGGC